GGATTTTCCATCGGGGGCCCATCGCCGACCTAACGAAAATAAAAAATATGCAAGAAAATCCAAACTTGCCCCCCCCTCAAAAAAATCAAAAAAAATGCGATGTATCGCCGGTTCCAAGTCGATGCTCCCCCACCCCCCGAGCCAGTCCCCCCAAGCTACTGTTCCCCCCCAGTGGCCCTAGGGCAAGAGGGAGGCTGTGGTCGAGTACGCAGTCTTGCGAGGAGGGCAACGAGGTGGAGATGGGAAGGTGGGAGAGGGTGAAAGGAGGACGAGGGGGAGGGGGCAGGATAAGGAATGCAAGGAGGAGGAGGAGGAGGAGGAGGAGGAAGAGGAGGAAGAGGAGGAGGAGGACGTGGCCCCAGATCGTTCGCCCTGGACCTTTCCTGGGGTGCGTTTTGACAAAGGGTTTTGAAGCGGATCCACCCGCGGCCACGAGCAGGCGCAGCGAAGCCCCGTAAAGCGTCAGGCGTCGTCGATCCTGGATCCTCGAACCTCGATCCTCGAGCTTCTTTTCCGGTCGCCGCTTCGCCCTCCGCCATCCTGCGAAGGCCTCGTGCACATCGCGTCGCAGCCCCCGCTGCGCCCGGGCGACGGGCCTGTGGCCCTCGTGATGGCCCCCACCCGCGAGCTGGCGATGCAGATTCAGGTCGAGGCCAGGCCCTCCTCTCGGTCTGCGGAGGAGGAGGAGGACGACGAGGAGGAGGACGAGGAGGAGAGGGAGGAGGAGGAGGGGAGCGATGAGAAGGAAGAGGAGGGGGAGGAGGAGGAGGAGGAGGAGGAGGAGGAGGAGGAGGAGGAGGAGGAGGAGGAGGAGGAGGAGGAGGAGGGGGAGGAGCAGGGGAACAGTTACCGATACCGCTTCCCTTGCCTCGTGATCGTCTGTTTGGGTTTCCTGTGAGGCCCTCGTCGCCACGGCTAGATTCTCCTCGGAACTCTGGTCAGAACGTACCCCTGGAGAGGTCCGAAAAGTGCTGGTCCCGCGAGCTGGCCGTGCAAATCCAGGTCAGGAGCTCTCTCGCGGTCTGTGGAGGAGGAGGACGACGAGCAAGAAGTGGGGGAGGAGTAGGCAGAGGTCGGACGATTTTCTGTCGTTTTCACGGGGTGTTCTGGGCGTGTTCGTCGGTTCTCTACGGTTTGCCGGCCCAGAGATGCGTTCAAGCAGCCGCGCCTCGCCGAGGGCGTTCCGGGGGTGCCCGTATCGTCCTGAACGGCTGCCGGAGAGCCGCTTCTGTGACCCGAAAGCCAGAGGGCTGTGTTAGGGGGGATGGGCTCAGAGCGGGATGCTTCGACCCCCAATCGGCCATTCATCGCCGATAGGGGCCCAAAAGACCGCCCTGCCCAGGAACGTGCTCTTTCGCTATCGGGGGCCCATCGCCTATCGGCGATGTATCGCCGGTTCCTCTTCGATGTTTCCCCCCTCGAGCCGGTCCCCCCTATCGTTCCCCCTCGAGGGGCATTTATGATGAGCCGCAGGAGGAGGAGGAGGAGGAGGAGGAGGAGGAGCAGGAGCAGGAGCAGGAGCAGGAGCAGGAGCAGGAGCAGGAGGGGCAGCAGGAGATGAAAGAGGATGAGGATCATAGGGGAACAGGAGGGGGGAAGAGCTGGGGGAGACGGACCATGGGACGGGACACGTGATGGGCATGCCGATGGCACAGCGGACAACGGGGCGTGTGGCCATTCGGCTCGGCCAGGAGGCAGAAACTCGTATCGCTACGCCCAGCGCGGGATGTTACGCCGCTGGTACACCGCTTCAGTACATCCGCCTTTGTCTCGTTTTGCGCTCCTCTTCCTCCTTCCTCCTCTCCTCCTACCCCACCGTCTGCGCCGGTGCGATTGCCGATCTGTTTCGTGTTCGGGATCGACCCATGTGCTGCCTTCACGCGCATGTGGGACGATCGTCGGGTGCTCGCTCCCTCCCCTCAGCTATCCTCTCTCTCTTCCATCAGGCAGGCTTCAGAATCCACGGAAGGCCCCATGACGGGCCAAAGTTGCCCCAAGACGCCCCCCGGAAACATCATAATGTGACCCGAGACCACGCTTCGCGGCATGGTGGCTCGAGGACCCCCCCCAGAGGTTGCCAAAAGGCGCCGGGGGCGTCTCCAGAGGCGCCCAAGGAACCCTTCAGAAGTGTTCGCGGGTGTTTCTAGATGTTCGCCTGGGAGAATCCTTCGCAAACAAATTTGGGGTCGACGGGGAAGGGTTCGTGGAGCAATTATGGCATGAACGAGGAAGAGGAAGAGGAAGAGAACTCTTGAAGGAAGGATGCGGAACAACAACATGATAAGGCGATGGCGAACACTCTAACCAAAAACGATCGATCGTTCAAGTGACGGCGCGACACGTAAATGCGGTCTTGTACTGCGTATATATGCTGACGTATGTAAGATTGCATGCGTACATACATACATACATACATACAAACATACATACATACATACATACATACATACATACATAAATACATACATACATACATACATACATACTAACGTACATACATCTATACATACATATCTACATAACGATGTAGATACATACCTACGTACATGCATACATACGTACGTACATCCATCCATCCATACATACATACATACATGCATACATACATATATACATACATGCATACAGACAGACACAGACAGACAGACATATAGACAGGCAGACAGACAGACAGACAGACAGGCAGACAGACAGACAGACAGACACACATACATACATACATACATGCATGCATGCATGTATACATACATACACGCATCCATACACGCATACATACATACATACATACATACATACATGCATGCATGCATGCATGCATGCATGCAGGCATGCAGGCATGCCTACACACATACATACATACATACATACATACATACATACATACATACATGCATGCATACATACATACATACATACATACATACATGCATGCATGCATGCATACATACATACATACATACATACATACATATATATATATATACATACACACATTGTGGCTTTCTGGGGCATGTTCAGCAGCGGTGCCAGCGAACAGGCGGACAAGTTCGCGGGTCCCACCCGCATCCGCAACACCGCGGTGTTCGGCGGGGTCAGCCGCTACGGGCAGGCTGCGGACCTCCGGCGTGGCGTCGAGGAGTGGTGGGGCGGGAGCAGGACCGGGATCGGCTGCACGTAAGAGAGACCTTTCGCCGGAGTGACCCTTGGTGCGGGCACACGTGGGTCCCCCGAGCTCTGGCCTGCACGCTTGCATTTCACGTTCTTCCTCGGCGTCCTGAAAACGCGCAGCAAAGCTCACTCTCGCTTAGGGGCGCTCTTGCGCGTAGCCGACAGGAGGGGGGGGAGGACGATCCGATATTTGCACAGCTGTTCGAGGGCTGCCGAGTTATCTCGACGAGGCGTTCGAGAGTCTAGGGCGGCAGGAGGCCGCGTCCTGAGCCTCCTCTGTGCTGCGGCTCTGGCGTGAGGGCCGCGCTTTGGACGTGGCGGCCTGGCGCTGCAGGCGCTTCTGACCATGCCAACTGTCTTGCCCTGCAGATTGCGTGCTGAATCCTGCCAGCAAGGCGAGGAAGGAGGAAGGAGAGAGGAGGATGAGAAAGAGAGGGAGGGGGAAGAGGAAGAGGAGCAGGAGGAGGAAGAGGGAGGATGATCATGGGGGAGGTGAGAGGATCACAGTTGTTTGTCGGGACCGCTCTTTCCGATGTAATCTCTCGTGCCGATGGTTGAACAGGGAAATACAGTCCGTTGTGTGATTTCTGTGCTTGGCAACCTGATTCTAAGCTCGAGGGGAGCCTTGAGGTCAAGTGCGAGAGGTAAGTGGCCCCATCATGTTATGCGCTGAGTTGGGTATCGCCGTCGCCCTCTGGTGGTCATCGAAGACGTCAGAGTTCAGCCGCTGCTGCCACCTCTCCTGGCTTCGGAGCACCCAGGCGGGCGTCTCTGCTCTGAGTTGCTGGGGCGTTGAGTGCGGGAGGAGGGCGCGGGGCCCTGGATTCGCTGGGGCGTTGGAGCGTGGCGGAACGGGACATTGGAGCGCCAGGGGGTGTCTCCAATGAGTCGCTGAGGCGGTGGAGTGCCAGAGCAGGGGGCCCGGGCCCCATGCGGCGTTGGAGTGCCAGGGGGGCCTGTTGGAGCGCCGGGGCGGGGTGCAGAGGGGGCGGACCTTCGGCTAACCCCCTTGGGTGTGCCAATGCGGGCGGGAGGGCCTTCGTCCCCCCCGATCCCCCATCAAGATGTGCAAGCTCCTCCTCCTCCTCCTCCTCCTCCTCCTCCTCCTCCTCCTCCGCCGGACGATGCCGACGACGACGCTGGCGCTACGGAGCCCTTCTTGGGGCTCTCTTGAGCGCCTCTTGGGCTCTGTGGGGGCCAGGGCTGGGGCCCGGCAGCTTTTTGCAGCACGCGTGGGATGCTGCGGCCGGCGTTTGGGGGGGTGGCGCAGGATGCCGGCCAGCTCTGGGGCCCCGCGGGGCCCCTCGGGGCCCATGCGTTGCCCGCCCATAACTCGGAGGGAGGGAGGAGGAAGAGGAGGAGGAGGAGGAGGAGGAGGAGGAGGAGAAGGAGGAGGAGGAGGAGGAGGCGCAGTAGCAGGAGGAGGAGTAGCATGAGGAGAAGGAGGAGGAGGAGGAGGAGGAGAAGCAGTGGCAGGAGGAGAAGGGCCCTCAAACCCTCGCGCTCCCCACCTTCGCCCCCGCGAGCTGCGCCGACGCCGAGGACGCAGGGCATGGCGCGTGTGGCCGGTGCTGTCGCGAGCTCCAGCGCCCCGCGTGCGAAGCAAACGTGGCGTCGGAGGTCCTGACACCGAGCCGTGCCCCAGGCAGCAGCGTGCTTCTCAGGGGCAACGTTTATGGGGTGGCAGGCTCAGGGTGGATGCCTCGACCCCTACTCGCCCACTCATCATCTAGCCTGCTAGCCCATCCCGCCCAGAAGCGTGCGGATTCGCCATCGGGGGCCTATGGCTGATCTATCGGCGAAGCATCGGCCCCCCATGTCTAGGCCTCCTAGATGGGGTCCGAGTAGATGGGGTCGGAGGATCGCGCCGCATCGCCGATGAATCGCCGATGCGGCTCGATGTGGAGCCCGATCTGCTTCCCGGCGATCGATCTCGCCCATGTATCGCCCACGTCGAAGATACATCGGGTGCAATCCTTCGACCCCATCTACCCGGACCCCATCTAGGAGGCTTGTGTATATGGGCCCGATCGCCCATCCCGCGCAGAAGCATGCGGATTCGCCATCGGCGGCCTATGGCTGACCTATCGGCGACGCATCGATCCCCCCCATGGGCCAGTCCCCCCAAACCTCGCCCTTCTGGTTCTCGGGCCATCTCTCGCCTCTCCAGTGGCCGTTCTGGGCATCCCCAGACGCCTCTGGGCGAGGCGCAGCCGCTGGAAGGCATTCCGAGGCTGCAACACAGCCGCGGACCGACGCAAACTCGCATAAACCTCGAACCTCGAACCTTTCGTTGTCCTTCAAGTCAGGGACGAACCTCGAGCCTGTCTTCCTTCTTCAGTTCCTCCTGAAAGCAGGTTCGCACGTATCCTCTGCAGGTCGTTCGCCTCCGGCGTTCGTGGCCGCGTCCAGTGGCCGCTCTGTCGGTTTTCTATTGAAGAGAGCTTGCGTGCGGGCACGCGCGGCAGGGAAGTGTAGCCGCTACTGTTGGAGGAGACGGCAGAGTTCTGGTCTGCCCCCAAGGCCGGCGGAGGGCGAGCTCTTCGGGGGGGGCCATCTCGGACAAGGCTAGATGTACAGTGGGGGCATTGGTTAAGGAATGTGCCCAGGAGGCTGCAGACCCTGGAGGATTCCTTATCTGATGAGGGCGGCGGTGTTACATCCATGGCCAAGCTACGATTGGAGTTCCACCGTTCTCCAGACCCTGGATTCCTTATCGAAGGGTTCCTCCTCCAATGCCCCCACCGTCTCGTTCCCGAGCGTTCTGGGACGGCCGCGGAGCGCCCTGGGACGCGCTGCAGCGGCCGCGGCGCCTGGCCACGACCTCCGGAGCCGCCGCATCTCAGAGATCTCCGGCGTATCCTCTGCCGGTTCTTGGTCGCTGCCATGGCCTCGTCGCACTATCTTCAGGAGGGGAAAAAACACACAGACACAATTCATCCTCGATTCCCAGGAAAATATGGGAAAATTAGGAATTGGGGGGGAAGACAAAAACCCAGAAAATATGACAAAATATGGGGACTATTTTTATTTGTGTGTATTTATTTGTGTGTCCTAATTTCCCTTTATATCTCAAGGCTCGCCGGCCCCATCGTCAGAGCACGAGGACCTCGTAGGCATTTGGGTTCAGGCCGCATGCATGCAGATGTTTTGGGGATAATCTGCTCCGTCTGCGCAGCGGCGGTCGCCGCCGAGGCGTCATGGAAATCTTGACGTGGTCGGTGCTGCTGTGCTCGGCCTGGCGGCCCGCCGAGGGAAAGTTCAGTGGTCCGAACATGAACGGGAGGTACACCACGGCGCGAACGCCCAGGCAAGGCAAGGGCGAATGTCGAAGAAGAAATGGCCACATAAAGATAAACGTTTGGCGCTCCGCGCGGATTTCTTGGATCCGCGCCTGGGCCCCCCGGCGGCGCCTCCGGTGCCCCCTTTGGCGCGCTCCGCGCGCCAGGGAGGGGGCTCCAGCGCGAATCCGAGAAATCCGCGCGGAGCTTCCAACAAATTATGTTTATATGGTTTTTTTCTTCTTCTAGAATGGTCTACAGATTTCAAGGACTACCCCGGCGGCGTAGAGTACTTCGAGCTGTACGCTGGACCGATCAAGAGCACATATGGCGAAGTCTTCTGGACAGCGCTTCCCGAGGTTCCGCTGCCGAGCGATCTGATCAAGCGCTTCGAGGGCAAGGGCATGGCCGTCGTAGGCTTCGAAGCTGATCAGGTGCGTCGCACACCCGAGGGAGACATTTCCGTGCCCATCAATGTGGCGTACAACCATCATTATGGCGTGACTTTATTGGGTAGAGGATCCAAGATGGAGCATATTCGCCGCGACCCGAAACATCCGCGATCTTGGCACCCTGGGTGTGGCGGGATGTCCAATGATCCCAGGTTCGTCAACGTCCCAGTCGAGCACACGCCAGCTGCAAGTGGTCTGCCCACCAACTTCGAGTTTGGCTTTGCCAACGGTGGCGAGTTTCGGAAGTCGTATCACGGTCTCGCACCGCCCTTCGCCCGACTCATTGATTCACCCACTCGGCTGGCCGTCGAGCCGATGCAGATTGATACATGGAATCGGGAAAAGATGAACTTGACAGGTGGTCCTTTCATTCCAGGCCCAGTTCCGAAGAATGCCCGTGCGCCAGTCACCGGTCCAGATGCAGTTTATCGAAGGCGCCTACGGCGAATCACCGTTGCCCCCTGCCTTTTTGTGGAAGCGCCTATGTGGCTGACAGCTGGGCTAGAGCCTGGCCAGGCTAGCGGGCCAGTTGTCCCCCGAGTCGGTTTGGAGAGCCTTCGGGGAACGCGTGGGGGAGCAAGAGGTTTGAAAGCGCTCATGTGTCCGAGCGTTGTGGTAAGAGCTCTGCCAAGCTGTTGGACCATGTGTTCCCCCAACCGTTGTGGAATCCCTTCGGGGAACACTTCTGGGAAGATAGCGGGGAAGATCAGGAGGAGGAGGAGGAGGAGGAGGAGAAGAAATAAGGATGTGGAGAAGGAGGCGGAACATAAGGAGGAGGAGATGAGGAGGAGGAGTCTTGGGCGTCTCGGAGGCCTCTTGGGGCGTCTTGGGGACCTCTTAGGGCCGCCTTGGGCCTCTTGGGCGATTTTTGGGGGCACTTGGGCCGTCTCGGGCCGTCGGAAGGCAGAAAAAAACAACAAATGCCAGAATTCTTCAAAAACTCATGGGGATTTAATGATTTTGGCTTTTTCGAGCCTTCCTGAAGACTCTTGGAGGTCTCTTGGGCCGTCCTGGGCTATTTTACGGCCATCTTCGGCAGTCTTGGTGGGCTCCTGGCCCGTCTGACGCCGTCGGAAGTTGGGGGGCCTCTCTGGGCCGATTTGGGGCCCTCTTGGAATACTCCAGGGCCGTCTTGGAGGCCATCTTGGGCGTCTTTTACAGGCCTCCTGGGCCGTCGTCGGGGCCTCTTGGGGCCTTCTTGGGTGCCTCTTGGGCCGTTCTGGGACCGTCTTGAAGGCCTCTTGGGCGACCTTTGGGCGATCTTTGGGGTCTCGTGGGCCGTCTCGGGCCGTCGGAAGGCCGAAAAGAAGCAAATGGCAAAATCTTTCAAAGACCAAAGGAACATACGTGTTCTTGGCCTTTTCGGGCCTTCCTAGAGGCCCTCTTGGAGGCCTCTTGGGCCGTCTTGGGCCAGCTTCGAGCCAACTTCGGCCATCTTGGTGGGTTCCTGGCCCGTCTGACGCCGTCGGAAGCCGTTTGGGGGGCCTCTATGGGCCGTCTTGGGGCCCTCTTGGGGTGCTCCAGGGCGTTCTTGGAAGCCATCTTGGGTGTCTTGGAAGCCTCTTGGGTCGTCTTTGTGCCCTCTTGGGGCCGTCTTGGGAGCCTCTTGGGCAGTCCTGAGGCCAACTTGGAGGCCTATTGGGAGCTCTGGGGGCCATCTTGGGGGTCTCTTGGGCCGTCTTCGGTCGTCGGAAAGCCGACAAGGAGCAAATACGAAAAAGTTAAAGAAAACCTGAGGAACATACATGTTTTTAGCTTTTCCGGGCCCTCCTGGAATACCTCCTGGAGGCCTCTTGGGCCGTCTTGGAGGCCTCTTGGGCACCTCTTGGGCCGTCTTGGGCCGTCTTGGAGGCTTCTTGGGTGGACTTGGAGGCATCTCCTCCTCTCTTGGGCGGACTTCAAGGCCATCTTGGACCATCTTGGAGGCCATCTTGGGCCAACGTGGCCATCTTGGACTGTATTGGAGGATCTTTTTCCGGATTGAGGTCCTTGGTAATCTTTCCGGGTGGCCGGCGGAACGCGCCGGAGGCCCAGGGGGGAGTTCTTTTGGAAAAGAACAAAAACCAAAACCGAAAGGGTCTAGCACGCCGGGCACCCCTGCGATGAATCGACAGGTGGCGGCGGATCCAGCTGCGTTCGGCAAGTCCCGCCACAGTGCCAGTCCAGCGTTATGGGTGGCGGCTGTTTGATGCGGCACAGGAGGCCCCAATGTGTCACACTTCGTGTCTCCAGGGTTGAGAGAACCGTGATCATGATGATGTCGAGGGGATGAGGAGGAGGAGGAGAAGGAGAAGGAGGAGGACAAGGAGGAGGAGGATCACGAGGAGGAGGAGAAGGAGGAGGAAATGGAGGAGGAGGAGGAAGAGGAATGCCATCGCATGTTATGCAGTTCTTCTTCATTATTTTAGGAGCTCTCATGGAACTCGTTTGAGCCGTCTGGTGGCTGCCTTGGCCTCCTGGGAGGCAGTCTCGGGGGTTCCTTGGGGTCCTCCAGGACTGTTTTGGGGCCCTCTTGGGCTCTTAGGCCCTCGTGTGGCTCTCTTAGGCCGTCTTGGGGCCCTCTTGGCCGTGTCGTGGGTGCTTGAGGGGCCGTCGTGAGGCCGTCTTGGGGCCGTCTTGGGGCCCACGGGAGGCCTTCCCAGGCCGTCTTGGGCCTGGGGACCGCAGGCGAAGGGCAGTCTCAGGCGGTCTTGGGTCCCTTGGGAGGCTCTATCGGGCCGTCTTTGGGCCGTCTCGGATGCCTCTTGGGCCCCCGTGGGGTCTTCTTGGGCCACCTTTGGACCCTCGTGGGGGGTCTCCTGGGCCGTCCCGGGGCCATCCTGAAGCCCTCTTGGGCCGTCCTGAGCTGACAAAGGCCAGAAAAGGCGAGCATGCGAGCCTCACTCATCAAACCGAAGGGGGATCAACGATTTTTGGCTCCTGCGGGCCCCGTTTGAGGTCCTGGTGGGGCACTTTTGGGGCCCTCTTAGGGGCACCCTGGGCCGTCTTGGAGGCCTTATTCGGCCGCCGTGGAGCCATCCTTCAGGGCGTGAATTACCTACCCCGCTTTCGCTTCCAGGCAAAACCAAGCCATACCACGCGCCTCCTCGTCAAGCGGCCTGACCAGTACAGGCCGCAATTTGGCATCGTTTGGTATCTCTTGGAAGCGAGGGTGGTCAAAAGCGAGGTAGGTTTGTTTTCCCCCGAATCCTGGCCCGTCTCCGAGGCATCTTGGGCCATCCTTGTTGGCCTGGTTGCCTGCCTGGGCCGCCTTGGCAGCCCGGAGCGCGGAGGCCTCGTTCTGTCCGAGAGGTTGTGTGGCCTCGGGAGCAGCGGGGCGCCTGCGCCTGTCTGCCGGACGAGGAGGATGGCCCTACGGTCGGGCCGGGGTATACGATCGAGGTCGGCTCGGGGAGGGTGCTCCAGATTTTGTAATAAAGGGAGGGGGGTCTCATTTCGGGGGGGGTCTCTTCCAGGCTATCTTGGAGGGCCTGGGGGGGTCTGGGGACGATGTTTTGGAGGGTTCTCCCACGGGGGGGGTCTAAAACTTTTCGTCTGTGGGGTCTGCCGGAAGAGGAGGGTGGCCTTACGGTCGGGCCGGGGTATACGATCGAGGTCGGCTCGGGGAGGGTACCTTGATGTCCTTCGTGCTTGGTGGATTCAGGAGGGGAGAAAACACACAGACACGATCGTTCGTCGATTCCCTGAACATATGCGAAAACATGGGAAGTGGGGGGGGAAGACAGCAACCCAGAAAACATGGGAAAATGTGGGGAATCTTTTTATTTGTGTGTATTTTTTTGTGTGTTTGTGGGCCCCTTCATGGATGCTCTTTTGCATCCTGGGGGAGGGCACCCTCGAAGGTTCTTCAATTTGGGCCAGCGGAGTGTCTCAGGTACTTGAAGGATGCTGTTCAGTCCTGGGCCCGACTGGATTTGAATGCAAGGGCCCCGCAGAGCAGGCCTCGGTATTCTAACGCGCCCACATCTTAGAGGCACGGTGGCGGATTCCGGTTTGTTGGAGTGTCCTCTGACAACTCGGATCCGCAAGCATACCATTGGTGGTTGGAATGACTCCAGCGTTGCGCAGATCTTTGCGTGCGAGAAACAGCAGCGTTGCACCTACTCAGCTGGCACACTCGAGGAATGTTTCGCGGCAGCTAGGGAGCTGCCTGGACTGGCGAACGTCACACTGTTTACCGATCAAGGCGAGTCATCTACCCTGCCAGCTGGCTGCACAATTTCTATGAACACGAAAGGGGCGCATGTGTTCTTCAACAGGAACAATCTGAGCCATGCGTGTTGTGGAGATGGAGTGGACGCAGTCGTGGGCGAGCAGAAGTCGTTGGTGACTCTCAAGTTAGTGCTTTCTGTCGCGCACGGTGCCTCCATCACCATGACAGGCCCGGATGGCGTTTGGTTTGGTATTGGGTTCGACGCCGATTCCATGAGCACTTCTCCTTATGCCATTGTCGTTGACGGGACAGGGAAGGTCACAGAGCATGTGCTGGGCCTCCACAAAGCAGGGGTTGAGCTGAACAGCAGTGTTCGGGTATTGGGCAATACTGTGTCAGCTGGCCTGCGGACAGTGGTACTTCAGCGCCCTTTGAAAGGAAGATCGCCCCAGCACTACACGTTTGACCAGCACCGTCTGCATTTCGATTTCATCAGTGCCATTGGATCTGGCCCAGCCTTCGGCTACCACAAGTCCAAGACAGCATCCAGTATTTCGCTTTGGCCATCATACTCACCTGCATGCATCTGCTCCGTGCCTGCAGTTCCATTTGGCCATGGCGGTGGCAACATAGAATATTTGCCCACTGGGGAAAACATTGGCTTCACCACGAGCTGCAACCCCACAGAGAGCATCTGGACGAATCGTAATCCCACATGCGATCTTCGTTTGTACCAAGGTGGTCTCCAGACTTGCCACCATGGATGGCATCTTCTTGACGCGGACCAGGAGGTCCCGTGGCAAGACCAGCCATTGGAATATTGGATGAAGTTCCGCCTGTACTTCCAGGATTACGATCCCGCCCACCATGTGTCTACCCTATATGGACCAGCCTGGACCCAGTGGTCCATTGGTGCAAACACCGCAGAGTATGATGTTCCGCAGTGTCCACCCGGCTCACAGGTAAAGGAGTGCATCCACGAAATAACTGGCACCGTCACGGTTCCCGGCACAGATTGGCACATGGTGGCCGCGCATTTTCATTGCCACGCTCCCACTTGCATTGCTCTGGAAGTCTTCAACAACCTGACTGGGGAACTCCTATGTCGTGAGGAGGCCCACCATGGCGAGGGTACTGACCTGCTACCCGGCGGCGACAAATTCGACCAGCAGGGCTACATTGACCAGCCACCTTGCCTTTGGGGATCTCCACCACTGGAACGACCGCCGCTGGTAAGCGGCATTCCCCTCATCATCAAGTCGTTCACAAACAGTACATACAGCCACCTCGGCGAGATGGCTCTTCCACAGGTGTCGCTGGCCCAACTGTCAGCAGGCTCCTTCCTCATTTGAACTGGGGTTCAGGAGCCACGCGTCTATTTCAAATGGGATGCCCCCTCTGCAGCCAGCACTCGCCAAAAGATGTCCTTTCTCATGTGCTCGGCTTGTGCATGCTGATGTCTCTCGTATCTGGCGCCCTCTCTCTCAACAGTCCCCGTGTTCCCGGTCGAATCCTCTCTTTGAGCGCACGGGCTTTGGCATTCACTCGGATCAAATACCACGCGGCAAACGGCCTCTCGGGCCGATCCTGGTCCGTCGGTTGCCGCCCCGTTGGCAATTCCTTGTGCTAGCTTCACGCTTCCTCCGTTGAAGGGCGCAGTTGTTGGCGGGCTCCTTTGCTTGCTGCACTGTGTCCGTTGAGGTGGAGAACAGGTCTGCCTGATTGCTCGCTTCGCTCACTCCGCGGGCCCCGACTGCCTCGCCGCTGTTGTTCGCCTGGGTGTTGTTGTCAGTGCGGTGCGTGTGGGCGGCGGCCACTTTTCGGAGGCGGTGCGTGGAGAGCTGTTGAGGTTAAGCGGTTGCTGTGGAACTACTCCCAGGGGGTCAGTCGCAGATTCCTGCGGTGTTGTGTTGGGCGTCCCGAAGACGAGGACGACGGTGAGGACGGCAAGGGTCATGATGGTATGATGGTGTGCCCACGGAGAGAACGGGAAGGAAGAGGAGGAGTAGAAGGAGGTGGAGGGGAAAAAAGGAAAGAACAGAGGGGAGGATGAGGACCAGGAGGCGGCCTCTCGATGGCCACTGGGGGCATCTTGGAGGCCTCTTGGGACCTCGTAGGGGCCTCTTGGAGATCTTGTGAGGGCGCGTTGAGGCCTCCTGGTGTGGTTTCCGGGTGGGCGGTTCGAAATGTTCATTCGGGTTTCCCGTCTGGGCCGTCCTGGGGCAGTTTGGGGCTGTCTTCGAGGCTTCTTGGGCCGTCTTGGAGCCCTCTTGGGCCGCCTTGGGGCCGTCCTGGAGGCCTCTCGGGCCATCTTGGGGCGATCTTGGGGGCATCCTGGGCCTTTTTGGACCGTCAGGACATCCTGGACCATATTGGGCGCCTCTTGAGCCGTCTTGGGGCCTTCTTGGGACGTCTTGGGCCGTTCTGGAGCGTCGAGAAGCCGAATAGGTAAGTACGCCAGATTCGGTGAAACAGCCTCAGGGACATCAATAGTTGCTGCTTCTTGGGGTTCTCTGGTGGCGCCTGTTGGAGTCTTCCTTGGGCGTCTTGGAAGCGTCTGTGGCCGTCTGGAAGCCATCTTGGGTGCTTTGGACCGATCAGTCGGCGATTCGAAGTCCTGTTGGACCATATCGGGTGCCTCTTCAGGCCATCTTGGAGCGCTCCGGGAGGCTGAAAAGCCGCACGCAGGATGAAACCCATTTCGGACCCGAGTGTCCCGGGAGTCTCGTGGGGTATTTTTCGTCCAGGGACCCCCAGGGACCGCCCCGCGCGCGCGAACTAAACATCTATAGTTCACCAGTTTCCGGAGATCTTAGCACGCCTCTGGCCCGTTGGGCCGGCGAATTTCCAAGCCTTGCGTGTTGGGTCCGCGTTTGCATAGACCACCTGTGCCTTGTCCTTCTCCTCCCTGTGTGCTGCCAGTCGCGTAGCTGCCGCTACGCTGCCAGTCACGTAGCTGCCGCTACGCTGAAGTAAATGCAGACCCGAAGCGGACCTCGCCGTGCTTGGAAGTTGCCAGGCGCGCAGCTGTTGCCACTTTGCTGCGCCCCCGGGAGGTCAAGCCGATCGACGCCCACGCAGATCATCCAGACGTCGCAGTCTGTGGGTGTTGCCATGCGTGCGACTGTTGCGACGCTGCTCCGCCTCTACGGTTCAGGGGGAGCGGTGCCCTTCACACGTCCAAAGAGACCTCGCCGTTTCTGGGAGCTGCCAGTTGCGCAAACTGTAGGCACTTCGCGCGCCTGTTGTGGTCCCAGCGGAGTGGTGCTCGTCACAAGTCGACCGGGAATGCGCCGTCTCTGGGTATTGCCAGGTGCACGCTTGTTTGCACTTGGCCGCGTCCCTTGGGGTTCAGCGGATTGGCGTCCTGCCCAGATCCAACGAGACTTCGCCGTCCTGAGGTGGTGCCAGGCGCCTTATTGTCGCCACTGTGATGCGGCCCCCCAGGGGGTCCAGCGGAGTGGTGTTTGACGCATACCTAAACGGGACGTCGTCGTCCCTGCGCGCTCTTAGGCGGCGCACAATGTTTGCCTTTTGCTGCGACCTTTGGGATTCAGCGTGGCGGCGTCCTACACAGATCCATTCGTTTAGTCCGCCCTAGCCGGACGCAGCCTTCGCGCGCGCGGCCAGCGCCGGGTGCCGACGGTGGCGCAGACCGCTCTGCGCTGGTGCCAGCGGAGGGCGTTGTCGCGCCTCGCCGCGCCATGCATGCACCCTGCGAGGCCCGGCTCGGAAGTGGACGACGCGGAGCCGTTGGGGCGGGTGGGCGGCACGGGTGGAGGCCCGCGAGATGAAGCAGGGCGGAGCACGACCGCGGCCGCGCCACGTCGTCGGCCGCCCAGACTGCGGACGTGCTGCATCGCCTGGACATGGAGACTGTTCTTTACCCTCTGGCGCGTACCGATCGTCACCTACGTTGGCCCCCCCAGGACATGGTAACGATCGTACGCAAGTGGGGGGAGGCCCTGGCCTCCCCTGCATGCTGGTGCTCGCGCGCGCACTGTGGCGATTGCAGCGCATCCACGCCCCGACGTGCCCCACCCCGCCCACGCGCACTGCTATTTGGGGCCCCGAGCCCCTCACCGGGTCAGGACCGTTACAGGAAATGTCAAGCCGCAGAGGAAACATATCGTGGTTCCCTTGCTGCGCCCAGCATGCGCTGCAGAAGTGATCGGTGGCTGAGTGACTGTGGCATCGGCACGTCTGGGGACAGCCTGTAGGAGTTCCTGGGCGACGGCTCGTCCGAGAGCTCCCCAGGCGTCAGCCTGTCGTTATGCCCCATCATCCGCTGCCTGTAGCTAAGCCCGTCCCTTGTCCGCAGGAGTTCGTGGGACGAACGCAGCTCCACGACGGTGAAGTGGCGCGGCAGGGTGCAGGGCGCTTGCGTCAGCGACTGCCACCAGCTTCGTCGTGGACTGCCTCGACAAGATGCGGTGCCCAAGGGTGCCATGCTGGAGCTGGCTCCCGTACTTGCTCGCTGTGTTGGTGTGGGTGCTCGGCCCCTTCCGGAGCCGCTCCAGGGCAGCCATGCTCTTGGTGTCGATCACCGTTGTCTTGGCGATGCTGCGTTGCATGTTCCCCGCAGCGGTCACACAGGCCACAGGCAGCCGTGAGCCAAGCGGGCCCTTTCGGTGCGGGGGGTTCTGAATTCCTCGCGTCGCGCAAGAAGCAGAAGCAGACTCACTGATTACTCGCCGTTCATTGGTGCTGCCAGGTTCGTAACTGCCGCCAAGCTGCTGCGCGAGGGGATGCGGGTGCAGGACTGTGGCGCCCTACGCAGATACAGCGAAACCTCGCCGTCCCTGGGTGGTCCAGCGGAATGCAGACACAAGCGAGGCCGCGATGTCCTTGGGTGTTGCCAGGCGCGAAATTGTTGCCCTGTTGATCCGCCTCTGGGAGGTCAAGCCAGGTCGCGTAATACACAGAACCAGCGATATCTCACCTTGCTTGGTTGTTGACAGACATGCAATTCCTCTTCGCTGTTGTTCTTCTCTCGTACTGCGGCATACAGGCCTCATGCGGAGCCCATTGCCGCGAGTCCTTATCATTGCAATATTGCTTGCACAGGGCGCCGCGTGCCGCTTCACATGATCGTGTGTGTTCGGACGGGCGGGCTCAAATAGCCACTGGACGCAAACCAGTGGGCGTACGTCCCTGGGCACTCCTGTTGTATTTTCGGTCTCGCTGTGCCCCTCCCCACCCTGCATGACTTGGGCACTGCGCAGCTACTCTGTTGCTCTGTATGGCTCCAAGTTCGCTCGCCTCTCTCTCTCTCTCTCTTATTTCTTTCTTTATTTCTCTCTCTCTCTCTCTCTCTCTCCACACACACACATCCACAACAACAACGAACACTTGCAGCATTGGCAGCACCCGTGCCTTCTAACGAGTGAGAGCCCGAAGCATGGCAATCCCTGAAGAGTGGGTTAGTAAGGGTGGTGGATGGAGACAGGGGTGTGGGGATGACACAGCTTCGGTGTTCGATAATGGACCATTTGTTGAAGTTGATGATCCAGCTCTCGTGCGGAAGACTGCCAATGACCAGCGATTACCACTAAAGACTGCTTGTTACCGCCAGCAGACCGCCGTTTACAGGCGAGGGTATGCCGATGACCGCCGATAGCGGAAGGGTAACAAAAGGGTCCATGGTCGGTCTCGTAAGACAGTGGGAAAGACAAGGGCGGAGAGGGGAATGTTGGGAGATCGTCATCGCCACCCCCGGCCGCCTGCTCGACTTCTTGGAGGGCGGGGTCACCAACCTGAAGCGGGTGTCTTACCTCGTCCTGGACGAGGCCACTGCTGCCGCATGCTGGACGGTCGGACTTCCCCCCGCCCTCGAGCTGATGGTGCACGGCTGCTCTGTGGTTTTGGTCAGGCAGCTGCTTATCATCTGGCCAAGCCCCCCATGGTAGGGCGACGAGATCTATGCATATCCACTGCTCCTGGCCAGGCCAATCCTGGGCCCAGGAGCGGTGTATACGCCCTCCTGGCCTGGCCAGGGAGGCATATACACATCTCCTGGGCCCAGGATGGGCCTGGCCAGGAGCAGTGGATATGCATAGATCTCGTCGCCCTACATGGAGTCTCAGCTCAGCTCCCCCATGGCATTGGCCCCCCCCCCCCGTGCTGCCAGTCGTCCCCCTACATGGAGTCTCAGCTCAGCTCCCCCATGGCATTGGCCCCCCCCCCCCGTGCTGCCAGTCGTCCCCCTCCCCCCGCGCAGCTTCTCCCGAGCCCGCTCCTTCTCCCTGCCAGCCGCCTTTGCGGGCTGCCCTTCGCCTCGCCGGTGCCCGATCGGTCGGCCGTGGCAGGCAGCTCGCCTCGGTCGCTGTCGATCCTGGCGCTCCCCGAGTGTGCGTGTGTGTGTGTGTGTGTGTGTGTGTTGGGGGCGGAGGGTGCGGGGGGGGGAGGGCGGGGGCGGAGAAGGGGGGCGGCGGGGGGTTGGGAGGAGGAGGCAGCGAAGAAGAAGAAGAAGAAGAAAAAGAAAAAGGAGGGAGGAGGTGACGGGTGGAGAAGAACAGCAAGTAGGACGGAGGAGGGGCTGGGGGGTGGGGGACTGCATAATCCAGGGGACGGGAGGGGGCATCTCTGCAGAGGCCCAGACGACGGGCGGCGACGAGGCGGCGACGGGGTGGCGACGGCGACCACGCAGTCGCTAGTCCGACCCCCAGGCCCAGACGACGGGCGGCCACGACGAGGCCACGAGGTGGCGACGGCGACCACGGAGCCGCCAGACCGACCCTCAGGCTCAGTTCCTCAGAAGACAAGCAAGATACCCTAAATGCAAGCCCTGTTTTGGGGATCGCGCTAAAGCCTTGGGGTTTTAGACGATTTGGGGATCTTGGGCCGACGCCCAGAGACCTCCAGATGGCCAACGAGACGCTCAAGGTCGCCCCAAGACGGGCCGCTGGGACCACCGTGCGGGGAGGCTTCGGGCCCTAACAGCGCATCCAGGGCGTCAAGGACAGAGGGAAAGTCACGCGCCAGGGGCAGTCACGCGCTACACCCTGGGAGCGCCGCAGAGATCCCGGGAGCGCCGAGGGGAGTCATGAGTCGGGGGCGTGGGCTCATTAAGCAGCAGTTTTAGCATCATGTAGCGATGTTTCTTCCTTCCGGGGCCTGAGGACACTCCATTGTGTGCTTGCTGCATGGCGAGAGATAACATCTGCTTCGTCTATGAGACGCCGGCTGGCAGTTCAAGCCAATTTGGAACGTTGTTCCGCTTCCGCGCACCCTGACTGTTTTCTAGTTTGTGGCCCCTCGTGGCGCGGGCGGAATCGGAACTGGTGGGTGGTCTTCACGCGCCGAGGACAAGAGGGTACCGGTCAGAGGAGGAAAAGGTGCATCCCTGGAGTCGTGTGGAGGTCTGCAGTGCCTCCCCCCAGTTTGATAGTGTACATGTCTCGAGCGGGGCGCTGGAGAATAGCGACAAAGCGACACGACACCACAAAGAGGTGGGGCTGGTGCTGATGCTTGACTTGCCAGTGCTCCCAGTGGCTGTATGCACCCAGGTAATTGAGCGGGTGACTTTGGCCGCCAGCGCACCCTGCAATTCACAATATTGTGATCTGGAGGGTATCCGATTGGCCGTCCTTTGTAATTTTTGTGGCGGCCACCCTCGTACAAGACACTATCAGCATCAAGCGACCTACATGTTCACGTGCAGACGAGAGCACTTGCCACGCCAGCAAGCCATCGTCAAGCACAGCGTTGTCACATGGAGGGTGCGTAGAGGAGAAGGGAGGAGAAGGGGAACTGGACGAGGAGACATCCATGGAGGATTGGAGATGCAGGGGGGCATGCGCGGATGGAAGGATGCCAGGGCGAGGATGACTAAGGGGGTGGCGAGGGTGAGTGAAGCTGGCAGGAGACGTGGACAGGAGTGCGAGCAGGGGTGCAGGGTGGCGGGCTCGTCGGCAGCCTTCGTCCGCACCGGCCTCCACCTGGACTGGGCAGGCCGATCGCATGCTCGACATGGGGTTCGAACCGCAGATCCGCAAGGAGGGGCGGGCCAGGACCAGATGCATGGAGCCCTCCAGAGGACGACCGATGGCTTAGAGACGCGACCCCGTGCTTGTCGGCGTGCTGCTGGGTGTGCGCCTGAGGGCACTCAGGGTGTCCACCTCGTGTCCAGCAGCTGCGCCCTTCTCAGAACTGCACCGCTCCGCTGTCTTTGATGATGGGCGACGTTTCCACCACCGCTACCATCTGTAGGACGGGGGAGGAGGGGGGGGAGGAGATCCTCCTCCTCCCCCTCCTCCTCCTCCTCCTCCTCCTCCTCCTCCACCTCCTCCTCCTCCTCCTCCTCCTCCGCCTCCTCCTCCACCCTCTCCTGCATATGGGAGCGGTGGTGGACAATGGGGCCATCACTTGACTTCGCAGTCCTCTCGTGGACCTGCCGTCCACGTTTGATGCGAGCGGCGGGGCGAACGCGCGCAGGCTTCGTCGGAGGGGCGGGGCGTCGAGCGCCTCGAGCGTCGGGGCGAGGCGTCCGAGCGGGGCCCTGCCCTTCGGCTGGCCGTTGGCCTTTTCCGGGCGGGCGACCGCGGATGAAAAGCTTCGCAGGCGATTTCTCTCCCCCAATCCCCGACTTCCGCCAGAAAAGTTTGGTCGCTCAGAAAAGGGGAGGAATCTTGGGATACATCCCGAGGGGGCTATTCGGACGCACCCCTGTCGAGGATGGACGCCCCCCCCTCGTATATCCCAGGGTTGGGCCCCAAATTGTTGATCCTCTCGAAAACCTCACGGAGCCTGGGATAGGGGTCGACGCATCCCCTGTTAAAGCTGCCGCGGCAGCTCCTAGCAAGTGGAGGGTCCGGCTGGACCTCAGCGCGCAGCCAGCGCAGCCCGAGCAGAGTCCTACCGTGCGTGCGCGTGGGTGCCCCCCGCAAGGGCGGCGCGCGCACGCGCAGGGAGCTCGCAGCAGAGGGCTCCCCGGCGGGAGCCTTTCTGGCCATGCCGCCCCGGGAGGTTGGACACTGAACGATGTTTGTACTCCAAGCGTTCGGGCGTTCGCCTCCGTTCGGACGTTCGGACGATGGGTTCGGTTCGGTCGTTCGCCTCCAAGCGGGGCGCACAGTACCAGTATGTATGTCCTTCTGCGTTCCATCAGACGCGACGTGCGTGGACGGGCATCATCGTCCTGAGCCGCAGTCTGTTTTCAGTTGGCATGATCGTGGCAACATAGTCGGACTCTTGAGCTCCACGTGGTAATGCAGGGGGCACGTCAGTCAAAAGAGAGCATTGCTTGCGCAGTGAAAACTCATATCAACCAACGCCGATCTAGGCGCAACCCTGGTACATTCAGCTTAGCGAGGCTAAGGCAGCATGCTGATCTGAGGTTGGTTTGAGCTGGTACGCTGGGCCATAGTTGGCCATGCTCTTCGCGACCTGAGCTGGCAGTGTTCGGCTATAGTACGAGAGCCCCTGCACGTAAGCATCGACCGACACCGACACGATTTCTTAAGCGAAGCACATGCCACACGTATACAGGTATGTGACCGTCAAGTGCACATGCATAGCAATAGTTTCCACGTTTGCGCTGCTTCGCCTGCGTCGCTAGCAGCGTTCGTGGGCGGCAGTCTGCTTCGTTGAGAGTTCGAATCCGATGGCGTGTAAACTTGTGAAGTTGCGCAGCATGGATCGCGGTTTGCCTGTCGTTGCTAGTGAAGACGGTCAACAGTAGAAACATCAGATTGCCGAGCTCTGCTCAGCTTTCCTGAATCGGCGCTGGATCGCCGATCCAAGAACTCCGCGCGGAGCTCCGAAAGTGTTTGTTTTCTGTGCAGCGTCTCCGTGCTTGATTCGCCCCCTCCCCCCGCCTCTTCTCCCCCTCTCTCCTCCTCCTCCTCCTCCTCCTCCTCCTCCTCCTCCTCCTCCTCCTCCTCCCTCCTCCCTCCCTCCTCCTCCTCCTCCTCCTCCTCCTCCTCCTCCTCTTCCTCCTCCCCCTCTCCCTCCTCCTCCCCCTCTCCTCCTCCTCTCCTCATTTCCTCCTTTCCTCTCCCTCTTCCTGTCCTCCTCCTTTCCTCCTTCTCCTCCTCCTCCTCCTCCTCCTCATCGCCCCTTTTCTCCTCTTCTCCTCCTCTTCTCCTCCTCCCCTCCTCTTCTCCTCTCCTCCCCTCCACCTTCTCATCCTCCTCCTGCTCCTCCTCCTCCGTCTTCTCCATCCCCTCCTCTTCTCCCCACTTTCCCTCCCCCTCCTGCTCGCCTCGGGCGCACGACGGGCCGGGCCTGCGGAGGTCGTCTCGCAGATCCGCCCAGACCGCCAGACGTTGCTGTACTCCGCCACGTGGCCCAAGGACCCCCCCCCCCGGGGGTAAGGCCGCCGGAGGAGGGCGAGGGCCAGAGGCGGAAGGAGTACCCTCTGCCTCCAAGGAGGGCGAGGGCCAGAGGGCCAGAGGCCGCTGCCCTCCGCCTCGTTTTCCCCTCCTTGGGCCTCCTGGGAGGCCCTCGTCGCCACCGCTGGATTCGCCTTGAACTTCTGGTCAGAACGCACCCTGGGAGAAGTCATGGGAGTGGCGGTGTCGGTACCTCTCGGTTTCCACCAGGAGAGCGAGGAAGAGGACTACCCTGAGAGATCTTCGCGCTGCACTTCTTTCACAAGGGGCCTTCGCCGCACGGTCTAGGGCCCCGTAGGACCTTCACGGGTATCCATCGATATCCGGCTCGAGCAGTGGCGCAGGAAGATGGGGTCCTGGGCTCCGCTGGTGATTTGTGGTGGTTTCGCATGGATGTTGCAGCGTCGGATCTGAGGGGAATGGGATCGGAGTCACCTCAGCATACTTATGCTATATGCGCGTCGCCCCTCCCCCCAGGGGCGACGCGCGCACCGAGAAATCTTCAAGTACATGCGTCGTGGCGGGCGCTTTCTGGCTACGCCGCTCGGGAAACGATACATCACAAGATGGGTATACCACATATTCGAAACAAACGCACACACATAACCAAGTTATCTAGTATTTGAGAGTATGTTTTTGCGCCTCACATAGGAGGAAGAAGAGGCCGCTGGCGTTCTCGGTGCGTCTCGTTTCTTTCTGCCTTCGGGCCTTTGTCTTTCTCTCCTCGTCCGCCCCCTGTCCTCCCTCCCCCCCTTCTGCTCTGCAGGCCAGGTCCCAAGCAGTGTGCGGGGTTTTGTGGTTCTGGCCCGCGGCGCACGTGTTCGGGCGTGCTTGTTCTTCTCGAGCTGGGGAGTGGGGGCGAGGACGGAGGGCTCCCCGTCCATCAGGCAGGCTGGTGCTGCGGTGATTGCCCGTCGATCGTTGAACATAGGCGTTCTTGAGTCCCCAGGTCCCAACCTACGACGAGCGCCTTCCTGCTTCAAGTGTCGATCTGCGTTTGCTGTGTTTCGTTATTCTCGCGCCTGGCTGCTGCTGCCCCCCAGGCTGCGCATCGTCGGACTCTTCGGCGCCTGAGCGTCCATTCTCCCTCTCGGCCGTCCCCCCCCCCCCCCCCTCATTGCTCGCCGGCCAATTCGCTAGTTAGTGCCCCAATCTGGCTTCCCGCTGGAGCGGACTTCGCCGCCTCGCCGCTGACGAAAAACAGTTTCGTTATTTTCTGTGAGGGCCTGTACCCAACCCGAACTACTTGATCTTCCTTCCTACTTCATGCTTTCACGTACTTCTTCTGACCGACGGGTGGGGGGGGGCCTGTTTCTGGTAGCATTCCTGGTGGTGCCGCCATCACTTTGACAACGAGCAGCGCTCACATGGCAATTCTAGCTCGAAGTCGCTTCCCCGAGCGAGGCTACTGGGCGTTGTGGGCGAGTGCCTTATTTGTCACCTGCTTGAGCATCCGAGCTACGAGGATAACACTATCATTCCTGAGGCTGCCGTGGGTGCCGTTTGCCCTTCTCCGCAGAAAACGCGCGCAGGGTCTTCGGCCGAGGACACCTCCAGCGAAGCAGAAGATATTCCTCAAGTCGCCGCTAACTGGTCGCTTAGAAAGGCCGCGGTAGTATGGCAGCGCTCGCCTCCAGGCCACACCTGGCCGCAAATTTCGACGCGCGCTGTTCCGCAGGGTCGGCAATGCCGTGGCCTGCGATCCGTCTCCCTCGTCAGGTCCCAGGGAGCCGTGCCATATGACTCCTGCACTCCCCATGCCCCCGTTGGGCGTCACATGTAAAAGCCCGCTCCCGAAGGAGGAGGAAGAGGCGGAGAAGGAGGAGGAGGAGGAGGAGGAGGCATGTGGCATTGGCTTCCCCCGCGGCCCTGTCTGAGGGCCACGACACGTGGCATGGCAAACCGCCTCCCAGGAGGCCGCCGCAGGGCGCCTGCTGGGAGACCGCCGGGCCAGGTTAGATTGTCTTGCGACCGGCTGTCGGTGTCTTGGCGCTGTTCTGGAGGAGGGCCCCTACAACTTCTTGACGCTTCGCGTATCCCCACCAGTCTGTGAGTGAGGCTTCCTTCCTTCCCCCTCCCCTCGTCGCCTCCTGCGCCTGTCTCCCCCCCTGCTCCTCCTCGCCGCGTTTGGCGGTGCCTTTCCTCGGGCTTTGTGCTGCCCGCACAGCGTTCCCGCTTTCTCGCAGGCTTGGTCTGTGGGGGCTGGCGCCACAGTGCGACCCTCCGCCGGCTTTCCAGTCTGCTGCCATCTTCCGTTCCCGGGTCGGCTCTAATGAGGTTCATTTTGTCCCTCGCACGTGCATTGCGGCGTTGGCCTATGTGCCTTCGTTGCCAATCGTCTCGCGTTGCGCCCCTGTCGAGATTGACCCGCTCCCTGGAGCCGTCCTTGGAGCCGCAGATCAAAAAACGTATCCCCACCAGGTGGCCCGGACGTTGCCCTTGCCGCCTGACCGTCGTCTCGCGGCCGAGACCAAAAAAGTATCCCCACTAGGGGAGCTCGAGCTACTGACTCTCACATGTGCGTGGTCGCTTTCCCACATCGTACCTGCGTCAGTAATTGGCACCTCAGTGGGCACGCCCTGCGTTACATGGTACCGCAGTTTTGATCGACGCGATTCTGATGTCATTTTGTGATGCCTCCCGCGCCATGTTGGCCGCGTTGAGCCCTGTCCCCCCCTTTGCCGGGCGCAGTTCGCTTCGCTATTTTCCCCGTTTCTTTCGGCGCGGCCCGCCCTAGCTTGTTCGGCGTTCGACAAATCTTCGCGCGCCCGCGTACCAAAAAATATCCCCCCCCAACCCATCCAGGAACAAATCGCCTGGCGAGTTGCCTTGATCAAGGAAATGTAGCGGCATGCGGTGTACCAGCCGCCTTGGAAGTGTTTCCTCGGAGGTCTCTTAGAGCCGTTTTGGGTCTGTCTTGGAGCCTCGCGGAGCCACTTGGGGCACTCTTGGGGCCCTCTGGGGGCTCTTTGGGGGGAGTCTGGGGGGCCTCTTGGGGCAGTCTTGGGCCCCGGGGCTCAACAAGAGGGGGGGTCCCCCATTCAGCTCCCGTCTTCGGAGGCCCTCTTGGGTTGCTTTTGGGGCGCCCTTCGGCGCTCTTGGGGCGTCGGGCCATTGCGAGGCCTCATGAGCCCATCGGAAGCGAAAAGGCGAGAAGGCGAAGCACATGGATTCCCCTCAGGCATTTGAAAGGTTTCGGCCTCTTTGGGGGGATCCCTGGAGGGCTCGGAGGGCACTCGAAGCCTTCTTGGGGTCGCCTTGAGGCCTCACGGATGTGTGTCGGAGCCTATCTCAAACGGCCTCAGGGAATTACAATTAACTCGGGCTTGTCCGTCTACAGGAGGGATATTCCATAATAGACAAACAACTGTCAGGGGACGATTGCTTTTAAAACTATGTTTGAGCATTGTGGATGTTGTTTGGGCATTGAAATCCCCGCTGTGGGGGGACCGGCCCGACCTGAACTTACGAGGGCGGCGTTTCACGTGCAGCCTTCCGCTCGGAACGGCACCGGCCGCTCGGGAGGGCGAGGGCGGCCCCGTGCGCCTGCCACAGTCCAGGAGGGGAAAAACCACACAGACACAATGAATCGCCGACCCCCAGGAAGAGATGGGAGAATATTGGGAAGTGGTGGGCGAAGACGAAGACCCAGAAAGTATGGGAACATGTGGGGGAACCTGGGATCTGTGCGTATCTATTTGTATGTCCCCAGGCCCGTCCCACAACACGGCGCGGAGTCCACCGCAGCCGCTGCTGGCTTCAGGAGGGCGCGCGGCCCGGCCCCGCCGGTGGCGGCACAATGGGCCAGGCGGAGAGCCTCTCGAGGGCAGACGTGCACAGCCTGGCGAACTTCTCGAAGGCGGACATCGCGCGCCTCTACAGCCGCTTCCGCTCCCTGGACGCCGACGGCAACGGGCAGCTCGACCCCACCGAGATCCTCGGCGTGACCGAGCTCACCGAGAACCCCTTGGTGCGGAGAGTCATCTCTGTCTTCGACAAGGATCGGGAGGGGGAGCATCACACAGACACTGTGAAATGTCGACTTCCCAGCAACCGTAGGAAAATAGGGGAAGCGGGGCGGAGGTCGACAACCCAGAAAAGACTAGAAAGTATCGAGAATCCTGGGATTCGTGTCTATTTACATGTGTCTCCCTGGGCCCCTTCAGAGGACGACAGCGGCAACGTCTCCTTCCTGGAGTTCGTGCTCGGCCTGGCGAAGTTCACCGCCGGCGCGTCCGAAGAGGAGAAGCTGGAGTTCGCCTTCGCCATCTACGACGTGAACAAGGACGGGTTCTCTCGGTAGCAAATCGAGGCGAATCGGGCAATGGCGACGAGGGCCTCCCGGGAGGCCCCGAGGAAGGGGAAAGCGAAGGAGGCGTAGCGGGTGCCTCTGTTCCTTCCCTGACTCTCCCATTCCCCCCCCCACCGTTGTGGGCCCCGGAAACGGCAGGGCCGTTTTTCTACCGTTTCCAAAAAAATGCCCCTTGAAAATGGACACGGCAAAAAAATTGCGACCCGAAACGGCAAAAAAACGGCTCCAGGATTGGAACCGGAGCCGGAACCGGTCAAACAATGGCGACGGAACCAGCAAAAAAACGGCGTCGGAACCGGCAGAACAACGGCACAACGGAACCGGAAAAAAAGGGCCCTGTCGTTTCCAGGGCCCACGAAGCCCCCCCCCACTGCTCGACGCCCGGCACACGCATCAGTGCAAGCGCGCTGCCTCGGCAGCGAATCATGGGGGCCTCGTATGCCCTTTGTATTCCGTCTTCCGCGTCGGCTGGCGTCGATTCGCGTCGGGGAGTCGATGGCAATAGCGTCAACTTAGCGTCGGCCAGCGTCGATTGGCGTCGATCTAGCGTCGAGTAGAGTCGACTAGAGTCGATGCGCAGGAGCAGACAAGATGGTATGGCAGGCTCCCATGCGTTGCCACCGAAGGTTCATATCGAACGGCGACCTGTTCCAAGTGATGAAGATGATGGTGGGCGACAACCTGGGCGACGTGCAGCTGCAACAGCTCGTCGACCGCCAGCTGGTGATGGCCGACAGTGACGGCGACGGGAAGCTTTCCTTCGACGAGTTTAAGGAGGCGGTGAAGAACATCGGCATCGCCGAGCAGTTGTCCGTTGACATCTCGGCGACGCGCCAGGGGGGGGGGGAGCGAGAGAGGGGGCAGGCCTCCTCAGACGCCGGCGGGGCTTCTCGCAGGCCCTCCGGCGTTTTGAGGAGCCCTCCGTGGCTTCGGGGAAAGCTCCGGAAACTTCTCAGAAGGCGGGGGGGCCTTGTGAGCCGTCTGGGAGGGCCCATCCCCCCCTCCCCAGACATGCGATGTCCTGATTTTTCAGTGCGGGGTCCCCGGAAGTCTCGGACCTTTTCCCGGGACTGGCTTTTCATCCTGAATTGTTTGTTGGCGCTCCCAGGGCCCCGTAAGGACCCGCAGAGGCCCAAAACGGCCAAGAGCTTCCCGTCTTCAGTTGTTCAGGACGCGAGCATGTCTGGGTCTGCCTCCCTCCCTGAGCGCGCCGCCGAATATCAGGTCGTACTGAGCTCGTCGCCGCACCGACGCACTAATATTGTGTGTGCGTCGTCCCCCCAGGGGCGACGCGCGCGCCGAGAAATACTAAAGCATAAGCTCGATGGCGGGCGCTTGCTGGCCATACCGCTCGGGAAACGATGCGCTACATGATGTTTGTACTATATGGCCTGGTCGGACCCACGCACCGAAGGAGGACATACGCGGCGTTCCAGACAGTGCCGTGCATTCGAGGATCGAATGAGTTGCCATCTCTTCGTCGGCTGAAGGCGGCGGAAGGGCAGCGGAAACTCGCAGAAGTAAAACGAGGCCGCATCCTCCGGCGGAAGGCCGGCGGAAGGCCAGCGGAAGGTGGCGTAAGATATATAATGCCTCCCCGAGAGATGGCAGCATGCTTGGGTGCACGGTTCCCGGAACCGCCACACAGTACCAGTATGTCTTTCTGCGTCCCGTGAGCCTTCTCCCTTCTTCGGACGGGGCCAGGACGAGGATAGGTCCTTTCCAGAGCATTCCAGAACGCTTTCAGAGCCTTCAGGAACATTCTGAGAAGGCCGCGGCGCCCGAGACATGCTCCAGAGC